TCTCAGGGCCTGGAGAATCCAAAATGTGTAGCTTAAAACCTAGTCCAATTCATTCTATGCTACATGAATTTGTACCTACTTCAAAGAGTCCAGAACTGAAAAAGAATATTCTACACACACAACAGCCTTACAATGTTATCAAAGTTAACAAATGCTACCCAGTGTTTCCTGGCATTGTTGTGGGGAGGCTTTCAGTACAAGTTCCTGGTGGCCCACTTCTCCACAGTAATTAGACTACAGATTCCTATGAATCCTATGCCAGCCCTTTAAAGGGGCTGTTTATTGTCATATCTTGGTAATAGTCCCAGAGCCCAAAGCAACCACTGATACTACCAATAAGGAAAGGCCTGAAGACATAGTGACCTGTCCAAATTTTGGATAATGAAGCCCAAATCCAGCTTTTCTCTGGTTGGCCTGAAGCCAGAGAGCCAATGGCTCCATAGCCCCATCTTTAGCAACCCTTGAGAGCTCCCTCAGACCCCAGAGTCCTCCCACATTGTACATGGCCAGAGGCACCCCCAGAGATTTTCTTAGTCTCAATATCAATACTCTGTTTTCTTGCCTATCCAGGTTAATTTTAAAGTATGTATTCCAGAGCTGGAGATGTAGCTCAGTGGTAGAGTGCTTGCCTAGCATATGTGAGGCCTTGCAAAAAAAGGAGTGTAGCCTCCAACCCAGCTCTCTTCATTCTAAAGTATAACTTTAGAAAATAAATCAGAAGCACAAGCACAGTCTGCACCACAAAGATCATCATCACAATTTTATCATAAGATCAAAATTCTACAAACTATCCAAATGCCCAAATTACTGTGACTTGCTTTATAAATAATAGTACACCCATACAATGGGATATGGTAACTTACAAATGATGATGTGGTTTAAACAAGTGACTTACATGATGATAATTGTTGACATAGAAATTTAGCAATTTGGGACTGGAGTTTTGGCTCAGAGGTAGATAGCTCGCCTAGGATGCATGAGGCACTGGGTTCAATCCTCAGCACTACATGAAGCAAAAATAAAGACATTGTGTCTACTTATAACTAAGAAAATAAATATTTTAAAAAAAGAAATTTAGCAACTTATTAAATAAAGAAAAAAGGCAGGTTTACAAAATAGTATCTAGAGAACAAAAGACCCAGTTTCTTCAACATTAATGGCATTTAAACCCAAATGGAGAATGATCACAGATTAAAGGAACCATATCAATCACCAGTAAGGTGTTTGTTTAAATTCCAAGAAAACCAGTATAAAAAAGTAATCTTTATTTTTAATTAGGGAAAATTGATTTGGTATGAGATATGAAGGAATGGTTCATTTCATTGGGTATAATAATGGAAATTATTTAATAATTGTGATTATTTTTAAAGCATTTATTACAGGTGACAGAAAAATAGTAGTAAAAGTACACTTTTATTATGTTCATAAATACATGTTTGTGTTTTATATGTGTAGAGATGCATAGGAAAGAACTGGAAGGAAGTATCCCACACTCTTATTATTGAGGAATGGATAATGCTTTCTTTCTTTTTATTTTTTTACTTATCTTCCTTTGTTAATTTTCTTACAAGGCACAAACTTATGTGATAGGGAATATGGCTATTGCCAGCGAATTTGAAGAGCCTCTTGAGATTCCCAATTCTCACCAGGGAAGAGCTGTGAGGCAGGACTACTGGAGAGGCCCAAGAGGGTTAGTAGCCCATAGTCCCATGCTCATGAGTCTGTAAGGTCCGAGTAGAATCCATGCGGCTTCAGCACCATCTCCCTGAAGCCTGGGCTGGCCCAAGAACTGCACTCATACTATTACCCAACTTGGGTTTTTGGATCCAGAGGTGTAGAAATGAACAATGGACCCAGAATGAATTTAGGCACGGGCAAGCCTTTATTAAGGACTTTGAGTCAGAAGGGACACAGCTTTGAGGGATAGAGACCCCAGGCCGGCTTCAGCAAAAAAAAAAAAAAAAAAAAAAAAAGGTGGGGGGAGTTTTCTACCTGAAGCAAAAGGGAAATAGTACGGGAGGGACTAAGCTCCCCGGCTGATCTCAAGCAAAGAACAAAGGGGGAATAGCTTTTGTGACATCTATAGGGTGAACTCCATCTCTTGATGTCATCTCATGTGGAGTTGGGGCTTTAGCTGGGCCTACACTCCCTTCTATCATTCTTCTTCATGCATCGCATGTCTCATTACCATCCTAAGTGTCCATCCAGGGGTGTGCATTTTACTATGCTAATAAGGTAAAAGATTACTGTGGGTCACTTTGGTGAATAGTATATGTATGTGTTTTCCCCTTGTCACTGAAATTGTCCTTATCTTCTGGGAAAGTCTCTAATATTGTTTTCTGAGTAATGCAGACCCTGCTTTGACTGGCATTTCTGCAGACTACATGCTCTCAGAAGACTGAGCTGTCCCAGCCTCCTATCTCTTGGGGTGTTACCTCCCTTCCATAGCCTTGAAGACTACTTACACTTTCATCTCCTAATTTTCTGTTGTGGCTGTTAACACCTTAAGATTGAAAGTTAACCATGCTGTCTTCAGGAGTTTTCTCTCTTACTCCTAAGGGGTTGTTTTTCATGCCTCCCAGTGGTGTTGGGCCCAGAACAGGCTCACCCTGTGTGAAGGCCTACCTTCTTCCCATAGCTCCTTCCTTCCTACGAAGGGACCCAACCCAGAAAGGCTGTGTCTCTGCCTCTCGCCTTATGTGGAGCATAGAAAAGCCAGTAAACGACCATGGCAGTGAAGAGCCTGACTTGCTTGACCCATCTCTAAGCTCTGCAGACCCCTTAGGACAGGGATGCTATGGGTCAAGGAGAACAAGGAGTGGAAACAGGCTGATTGGGGAAGGAACTTGATAAATTTCATGGTGAGTTAGTGACTGCTCCAGGATTAGACAGAACCCAGGAATCCCTATTAAATGTTACAACATGCTGCCTCTCAGAGGACAAAGGTTGCTCAGCCATCCCAACTTGTGACAAGCATCTCCTACTAACTGGAAGACTTACTGAGCAATATCTTGGAGGTAACTACCTGAGCCACTTTCAGGGGAGACACTCAGTATCTGACTCAGCCAGGGCTTTAAGAGAAGAGGAAAGCTGGAGGGGCAGAAGCTGTGAGAGTGCTGCTGGGTGGTGTCATTATGGTAGCAGCTGTGTCAGACAACAACTACTGACATCTTGAAGGCACTTCCCATAGGCCATAAGCTCATCACCAAGCCACTAGACTGCTCCTCTCTGAGCCCTTGAAGAATTTGATGTATAAATGGAAATGGGGATGGTGGAGACCTCTCTGCCACCCAGGGATGTGGGCCTTAACCAGGACTTGCCGAGTGCAGCCTCTGTCCCAACCAGTTGCCCAGGGCATTTCTTCCTTGTCACCTGGCCTCTGTGCCCCAAGCCTAGACTGACATCATGAGCAGGGGACAGTTCTAGGGGAAGAAAAATATGCAACACATCCTGTTCCCCTGATCCTGATCTTCTGGTTCCACCAATGCCTAAAAAAAACCTTTTTTGTGCAAAACAGAAACCAGGAAAGAAAAGGCAAGACAGCTACACAAGAGACTGGGAGGAGATGAACAGAAACCATGTGCAGTGGCCAAAAGTACACCACAAAAGGGAGTTGCTGGAGCCAATGCACACCCACTTCCTTTTTGGGGGTCCATAAGGCAGCCTCTCTCTTCCACCCTTGGGGTTGCCTCTAGGGTCCTTCTTCCCAGCTTTCCACTCTTACACCCCACTCCACTCATGTGCTGGGAGTGCCTGCTGGGCGGGGTCCTCAGTGTTGACTGAGAGTGAACCAGTGCCGGGCACAGGTGACAGAGCACACAGAGGCCACCAGGCCTCCCAAGGTTGGGGAACTTGCAGGAAATTCATATTTGTCTTAGTTCCGGGACTGATTCACTGAGTCAATCAATGTTTATGGAGAACTTTGTGGAGGTGGTGCTAAGAAATTAATTCTCAGGCTTCCTGCAGCCCCTTCCAAGTGGTGGAAGTGCCATCTGAACAAGGATGAAGAGAGGGAATCTCGGCACCAGCTCTGTAGTGCTCTCACCAAGCTCTGCTGCCTCCACTCTCACTACCTCTGCTGCCTCCACTCTCGTCCCTGTGATGTGCGTGGGAAGCAATAGTTTGAGAGCTGTGGAAGACCTTGCAAATGAGGAGAGTCCTTTGAACTGCTATTTTCAATTGGCCCATTTGCTCTTTATAATTGCACAGGCATCCTGAAGCCCACCTAAGAGACCAGAAAATGGAGATGATGTTGACATTGATAGACATTGGCTTAGAAGATCAGGCTCAAACACAACTATGGAAAAAGCAATGTGTCTTTGTCCTTGCTGATGCTACCTTTCCTGCTGTCCCCTCTGCAGCTCTGAAATCTTTTTCAGGTTCAGTGTCCTCCCTACATCCAGCCATAATCAGAACAATAGCAGCTACTTGTGAATTTAACAAAATGAAATCTGCCCCATTCAAGAGTAATTTCTATTAGAAGTCTTCCATCTAGAAAGTCTTCCATCTCATTGATGAGTCTTCCATCTCATTTCACATTAAAGAAACTTTGGGCACCACTAAACTGGAAGGAGAGTTTTAAGACAAGACAAGTGGCAAGTCTGGCCCCAACTATGTAGAAATAAGAGAAGGAAGTGCAAGTGGGTTGGGCTGCATGGCTGCTAAGTGTGTGTGCACAGAAGTCTCCCCATCTCTCCCTTCTTCTGATAAAAGAAAAGCAGTGTGTGACCTTAATCAAATTACTTTTCTCTATTTCCTTATCTGTAAATAGTCATTATACATTTGGTTTGCTGTGAGGATTATAGAAGATTTATGCAAATTTCCAACAGTCAATGTAATTGTATTTAGTGCAGAAAATGGGTCCTCTGGAAAAGTCCTGGGATTATTCCTTCTGTTCAACAGGCAATCTAAGTCCACTCTTCCTTAAAGAGGCATAAATGGCAGCAGAAGTCACATATCAGCAACAGAATTTATTACCTGAACCAGTTTGAGGAATTCCAGGCATTGGCCATGGCCTTCCCTGGATATAAGAAAACTCAAGCATCTTCAGACTCTCCCTCCACCCACCGCTGAAGCAAGGGGGAAAAAAGGCTGCAGTTGTCATAGCTATTACTACAGCCTTACCCTTGATTAATAATCTCAAATCACAAGGAAACATGTTGCAATTTGGATTCAAACCATATACAGAAAAACTCCATGACTAAAATAAGACAAGTTTGGAGATATCCTTCCAACAGATGGGAAGAGACAAGAGCCTTAACTGGCTATGAGAAGAGGTAAGTTTTCTGTCTACAATAATCAGAATTAATGGAATTGTCTAATAATCATCATTCAGTGAGCCTAGGAGGGGAGGCTAAGGCTATGGGGTAGGGAAATCAGGCAGTCAGGTGTGCTGGCCAAATCCTCCTGGGCTGGTCCGAAGTATAATTTAAGGACTTCCTGCCACTGTCTTTAGGTGGGAGCCTCCTGGTTGCCTAGTGACAGGCACCATACCTCAGGATAGGGTTGGAGAGAGTTGGGAAGGTAGTTCTCTACCTTGCAAATGGAATGACAAGATTCTTGGGAGTTGTAGGGGCGATCTGTAGAGCTGAGATGTGTTCTCATTAGTTCTACATTTGGGGAATGCAAGCTGGTTTGACCTCACATGAGATTTTTATTTTATTCATGTGGTTGGTTAAAAATTACACTAGATCCAGGAAGTTATAGTCTCTTTTCTTATTCTCCTTTTATTGTCAAACCACAGGGAATTGTGCTCTGAACTACAACTGCTGATAACTCTCAACCCAGACCCTGAAAATCAGCCTTGGGGCTGGGTACGTCTTGATAAAGTTGTCTCTTCATAACTCAGCTCCCATCCTCCAGCCAGTCATAGTGGAAACAGGAACCCAAAGGCCATATTTGTCTCCTTACCCAAAGAAGGCCCAGATAGAAGGAGAGTTCTCAGCAGCTGTTTGTTAAGCTCTGCTTTACTTGCTGAACTTTGTTCAGCATGAGCAGGTCATTCTGGCTACAAGTTTCCCAAAACCATCCCTATTTGTGTCTTTAAGGCACACGAACTCCTCTATAAGACTCTCTCTTTATAATGAATTATTTTAATTATTCTTACCATTTGAAACAAAGTTCTGCATTCAAGGTAGATCCCCCCGCCCCAGCCATTTAGCCCTGAGATGCTGAGAGGGGGATGAGGGTACAGCTTAATTCACATCAGGGATTCTGGTCATTGGGGTCACACTTGAGCATGACTTTTATCCCCAATCCCTTTTTGGATGTTTCAAAGGCCTCCATGGCTTTCTCCAGAGGAAACCTATGGGTGACTAAAGGCTTTACATTCACAGACTTGGACTCAAGCATCGAAATCGCCATTGGCCACCTGTAAAAGATACAAGCATTACATTCAACCTTCAGAAACAAAAGGCCAGGTCCCCAAAGGTATCAAGTGTAAGAACTGCTTGGCCATATTTCTTTCTAGCGCTGTGCTTCAGCAAGGCCAATTTTACAGACCAACAACAGGAAATGACTTTGTGGCTTGTAATTTGTAGGCATAAAGACTGTTTCCAATTGCTTCCTTACCTCCTATTCCCTCATTTTACAATGCCTCCATAGAAAGACTATGGAGGCCTGAGAAAGATTATGGAGGCCGCTACAAAAAGGTAGCAGGCCTCAGGGAGGCAGTTCAGGATAATCAAGTCACACCATTGCCAGTTCAGGTTGGCAGAGCTTATTGGAAAAATGGTACTTAGCTGAAGGTATGGAATTATAGATTCTTAAGCTAGGAGTAAGGGACATTGCTAGAGCAGGATGTCCCAGACAGTGGACCCTCAAAGGGGAAAGGCTGAAGCTGAGGAACAAGGGTGAGGTGAATTAAGGCCCTCTAGTTCCCCAGGATGAGCCCTGGAATTCAGAAATGAGGGCAAAGGGACTTGATTTCTTCTCTCTCTCTCTCTCTCTCTCTCTCTCTCTCTCTCTCTCTCTCTCTTTTCCTTTCTCTCCTTCTTCCCATTAAAGAGGGAAAATGGAGGTCTGGCCTCATAAGAAAAAAGAAAAGAGAGGGCTGGATAATGAGTGGCAGACAGCTAATGAGAGCATGCTTCAAAATCCCCTCTCTGTATGTCCCTCCCTCTGTTTGAGAAGTACATGTTTTCTCTTTGGATCTCTATCATATCACACAGCAGTCAGTGTGGTCAGGGAGTGCCCCTCATGAATAAACAGGTCCCAGAGTCAGTGTGGGGCCTGCCCCGGTGTTGCTGGCAGCTGGCCACCCTGGCTTACCCACAACATACTCACGTGTTGCAATATCGAAATACGCCCTTGATATCCACCTCTCGGATGGCTGCATGCACTAAGGGTACAGTGGTCATCTCAGAGCCCATTCCCACAAGTACCAGAGTCCCACCAGAACGAGTGGCCTGAAGAGAAAGGAAAACTCAGAAGGTAAGAGAATGTGGATATACAATTTATGTTAACACACTATTATCACACAAATGTCTTCTGACTGCATCAGGTGAATATCCAAAAATTTCAGAGAATATGAGTCCTGCTATGCTGCAGAACACGAGAAAAAAACTCAACAAAGCAGCAGAGCAAACATTATCATCTTTAAATAACCTGAAATAATACACTTGACCAAGAGAACATCTTCCAAATACTGGCATCAGTATTTTTTTTTTAATTTTTTAGTTGTAGATGGATACAATATCTTTATTTTATTTATCTATTTCTCTATTTATTTATTTATTTTTACGTGGTGCTGAGGATCTAACCCAGTGCCTCATACCTCACAGGCAAACGCTCTCCCACTGAGCCACAACCCCACCGGATTTCCATGTCTTGACACTTGCTCTTCCTGCAGACCACCCCTCCACAAGGTAGGCCTTTCATACACCTCTAAGCAACAACCCTCTGAGCTTACCAACAGTAAAAAACTACCAGCTACTGTACAAATGAGCTTTTGGAATTATAAAGTTTAAAAGCATCTTCCTACAAGCAGGTTTGCAGAAATGTTTTTGTTCCAGAGGCATTCATCCCAATAGTCCCAGCCATAATGGATTTGGTCTTCCCTGAATATTTATCTGGAAAATGAGTGCTCTGCTAAGGACATGGAATTATAGATTCTAGTAACATACTCCCTGGACCACTCAAAGGAGGGTCAGAGGTGGCAGAATTTCTCCTGACAATTTTCATGTAACTCCACGTGAGTATTGTGCCCCCTCCAGAGCTTTCTGAGGATCACTGTGCTCTATATTGTGAGAGACAGAAAAATGGACACTCCATTCACGGTTAAGTTTTCATGATAATCAGAAGGAGCAACAAGCACTTACCAGAACTATTCTAAGTGATAAACAGAGTTACACAAAGGCGCATGGCCCAATCCACTCTTGGAGGGGAAGGATACACCATGAAGAGAGGCTTGCAGTACCAGGAGCAAAGGTAGGGCTCTAGGTTGCAGCCATGTGCACTGACTCCTAGCACTGCAGCTTCTGAGTTGGACTTGTCCTCTCAGCCAGTCTCTTGTGTGTAACAATCACAGTGCTCAGCTAGTGTGGTCTCAACATTTGGCTGTTTTGTGTTTTTATTGATACACAGAATTACTTACAAGCCACCAGGGAACATACATGAATCAGGAAGACGCTGCTGTTCACAGTGGAATATGGGAGAAAGGGGTCAAAGTTGTGGGTAAGCCACAAAAGCTATTGACTGAGAAATTTTCCAGGAAAACTTCTTCCCCATCAGCAATTCTCTACCACAAACTAGCCACTCCAGGATGCCAGGGTCCAGCAATTGCTGATCATAGGTCAAGGAATGCTCAGACTACCTGACTACTCTGCTGTGGGTGTGATGTCTAGACCAAGGTGACATTAATTCTACCCCAAGGCATAATGCCATACCTCCTCCCAAATACCATGCAGTTATCACCTGCGCAGGAAAGTGATGCTCAGGTATGTCTATATTTGGTGCTACTCCCTAGATCAGATATCTCTTCAGGCCTGGTAAGGCCATAGGATTACATTCACCTCCATACCAACCTCAAATAGCCTGGCAGACAGGCCCCCACTGGCAACAAATGGAGATGACACACATCCCATCATCTGAGTTTTGGTTTCTCTTTGCCCTTTCCCATATGGCAACCTGTCTATATCAGAGAGCCGAGGGCTAGCTCATTCTAGTTGTAACTCAGGACAGGGTAAAAATGCTACTTGCTCCTTCCTTCTACTATGTCCTTAGCCCCCAATGCCTCTGGGCATTTTGGTAGGAGGAGGGCTAGGTAGCTCTTCCAGGATGCTGGGTCTGTGGGTATGCCACAGCTGTAGGTGTGAGTTTACCCAGAATATCTCACATGCTGCAAAGTAACTAACCTTGTGTGACTCAGAAGGAAGGCAGAAGCCCACACTATTGGGAGGAAGCAGTCTGGAAGGTGGGGCAGGGGTCCCTGGCTTGCTGCCCTCCCCAGCCTAGGCCCTCCCATCCTAGCACATTTGCTCATCTACTCTTTCCCTTCCTCTCCTGAGCAGCAGGGCAGAATAAGGGAAGCTCTGGAGCAGGCAGGATGCACTTGAACCTGACTCAGCCACTGACAGTCATATGCTTGAAGCAAAGTCTACAGGACCCTCTCCACATAAAATGATAAATGATTTTCAGAGTTATTGCACAGATTAGGCCTCATGTATATAAAGTACCCAGAAGAGGACCTGGCATACAGTAAGATTTGGAATCTAGAAGTTATTCTCTTTCTCCCTTTTTCCTCATACTCTGATCTGTCATTGCTCCTCCCTCCCCTTACCTACAACGCCTGCCAGTTTCCATGAATTGCTGATGGGGTGGGTCCTCAAGGAGCAAATCAGACATATGCAGCTTATATGTTCCAGTTCTAGGAAACAGCACAACACTAGCCACTGTGGCCCTGAAAATTCACCTCACCTTTGTGACTAACTTAATCAATGGCTATCACTTTGTATCAGTGACCCAAAAGTACAGTTTTCCTCAATAAAACAAGATAGGGATTTACCACACAACTAAGACATGACTAGCTGTTCCTCCTGTTGATGGTTTTACCAAGAGGGTACCTTAATGACCATGAAATGACCTTGAAGGCAACCCCATCCTAAAGCTGCAAGCTACTAACATCATTCATGTGTGTCTGTCATTGTGTTGGGCACCCTGTGACTCCATGATAAGAGTTACTATCTCTGCATTCCAGACAAGAAAACAAAATGCTGAGAGACTAACCAATTCTGCTTGGGGGTCAAACAGCCAGTGGGTGGAGAATCCTGACAGTGGGACTTCTCACTTCTGCTCCCTTCACTGCCCTACGCTGATTCCCCAAAGCAGCCCAACAGTTTGTCGCCCGCAGTCCACTCACATAGATGCCCGTCTGGATGCAGGACTCTGCCCCTGTGCACTCAACGGTGACAGCTGGCTTGCACCCCAGTAGATTTTCTATTTTACTGGCGATTTCCTGAGGGCTCTCCTTGGAGACCTGAAGAGTGAAATCAGCCCCAACTTCCTTGGCTTTGGACAGCCGAGAGGCAGACAGATCTAAAGATGAGCAAAAGTTTCTTTTAAACTGAGAAATCAAATGACTGATTAGAAAAAAAAAAAATAAAACAGAAGTGCAAGCTCCAGTGTAGTGAGAGGTGCTTCTGACCCCTACACACTGCTGCACATAACACACACACACACACACACGCACACGCACACGCGCACACACACACACACACACGTTCATAAATTCCTTCTCACACAAGACACATAATCAACACCCTTCTACATCTTCACAAAGCCCCATACATACCACACAGCTACACACATTTTCATACTTTTTACATACACACACACGCACACATAAAACCTTATGTATGCATGTATATATGGATAGATGGGTTTATGATGCACACCACCAACTCCCCACATACAAATACATCCTCTTGATCTCCTAAGCTTGAACAAACAGACCAAGAGCTTTTAGAACTGAGAGGGAAGTAGGAGGTCCACACAGAAAGAGACACAACCTCTTCTCCAGAGTAGCTACTCCCTCCTTTCACAAAAGGCTCCATCCTGAGTTGGTCATACCTATGTAGACTTTTCAACCCTAAAACCCAGAGAAAGAAGGAGCCCCCTTAGAATCAGAACCCATTGTTTGGATGTGGTTTGTCCCTGAAAAGTTCATGTGCCAGAGGCCTGGTATCCTACATGGAAGTTTGAAGGTGGGACCTAGTACAAGGTAATTAGGTCCTTGGGAGTGCTGCCAACAGAAGGGATTAATGCTGGTCTTGCAGAGTGAGTTAATTCTCCTGAAAGTAGTAAGTCTGACCTTTGAATCTCTCTGGTCTCCTGTCTCATCATATGATCTCTTTCACACATGCTCCAGCCACTGTGATGCTATGGGCCCAGGGGCCCTCACCAGAGGCCAAACTAATGGGGCTGCCCAATCTTGGACTTTCAACCTCCAAATGGTAAGCTAAATAAACCTCTTCTTTAAAAGTACCCAGTCCCCAGTACTTATTTTATTTTATTTTTTTACAGAAACAGGAAATAGACTAACATAGGAAGGGAATGTATCTCATGCCTCTGCCCTAAACTGTGGATCCAGATGTTTCACCCTCAAGGAAATTTTAAGAAAATCTTACCAGTCACTACAACTTTAGCTGCTCCCATTGCCTTGGCCACGAGCAAAGTGACCAGCCCAATTGGCCCTAAGCAAAACAGAAAAAGGGAGAAGTTTGTGTATTATTATATATCAGCTCATTCCCTTGCCCAGGCCATGGCCAAGAATTGCATCTTTTGTGTTGCTAGCATTTAGCCCAGCACCTGGCACATATTAAGACCTTAACAATAGTTTGTGAATGCAGAGGTAAATGTTCTCTATATGAAACATGCTCCTAGCACTAGGTTCTACTTGATTTTCCTATAACTCAGCACTATAAATTTTCCACTTATACTTGGGCATTGCTTGAAAATAAATTCAAAGACCCAGAGGATTTATACTTTTTCAGCAAATTAGAACCAGAAGGTTCAGATGTTTTCCTACCCTAAACTTCATAAGAAATCATCATGTTTCCCCATGAGAAATACCCTTTCTGGGTGTCCTCCAAGGATCCTCTGGAGGGAGTCCTTAAGTGGGGTGGCTCTCTAGGTTGACCATCTTCAGGATATTCAGGTATCCAAGAACTAGCCCCAAATCACCTGTTTCACCACAGAATCTGCATATTAGGTGGCACTGTGGCTTTAATATAAAGTCTAGAACCACAAAATGGAGCAAAAAAGAATATCTTTTGGGTTCATGTTTTGTACACACCCTTGAAACCAACTTTATGAGCTCCCCTAAAAAAAAAATACATTCATTCACTTCTGCATTCACAGTTCATGGACAGGGCTTGGCCATCACTTTTCTGGTGTGACTCCAAAGTTCCAAAACTTATCCTTTCCTTTAATATCAAAAGCATTTTCCTAGGTTTGCCACAGGTTCAAAAACAATGATTGAATTCATTTTTGGGGTGGATACCAGGGCTTGAACTCAGGGGCACTAGGCCACTGAACCTCATCCCCTGCCCTATTTTGTATTTTTATTTTAGAGACAGGGTCTCAATGAGTTGCTAAGTTCCTGGCTTTTGCTGTGGTTAGCTTTGAATTTGAAAATCCTTGTGCCTCAACCTCCCAAGCTGCTGGGATTACAGATGTGCGCCACAATGCCCAGTAGAATTCATTCTTTTTTTAATACTTTTTTTTAGTTTTAGTTGGACACAATACATTTATTTTATTTATTTATTTTTATGTACTACTGAGGACAAAAACCCCATACCTTGCACATGCTAGGCAAGTGCTCTACCACTGAGCCACAACCCCAGCCCCAGAATTCATTCCTAAAATGAATAAAAGGGTTATGTTGCCTAGGAAATCTAATTATTATCATGTCTGCAGACATTTTAGTTATTCAGCAAAGTGCTAGTCACTGAGGGAATGAAACACTATAATCCTACCCTACTCAGAAAGATTCTAGAACTAATTCCAGCCTTTCAAGGGGAATAAGATGGACAAGGGGTCCCCATATCCTCAGTCACTGCATCCATAATGAAGTGTCAACTGTTTCTTACCAGCTCCACACACAAGGACTTTCTTCCCCAGGGAGATTCCACCTCGCTGGCAGGCATAAATTCCCACAGAGAGTGGCTCAATCAAGGCCCCTTCCTCAAAGGTGACATTGTCAGGAAGCCTGAGGAGTCATTCAACATGCACAGTTAGATCTTCTAGGTTAAGTATAAAAGCAACAATAGCATTAATCTCTAGGATATATAAAGAACTCAAAAAACTTAACACCAAAAAAACAAATAACCCAACCAATAAATCAGCTAAAGAACTAAAAACACTTCACAGAAAAAGAAATACAATCAATCAATAAATATATAAAAAAATGTTCAACATCTCTAGCAATTAGAGAAATATAAATCAAAACCACTCTAAGATTTCATCTTACTCCACTCAGAATGGCAATCATCAAGAATAGAGGCAAAATTAATGTTGGTGAGGATGTAGAGAAAAAGGTACACTCATACATTGTTGGCAGGACTGCAAATTGATGCAACCACCATGGAAAGCAGTATGGAGATTCCTCAGAAAACTTGGAATGGAATCACCATTTGACCCAGCTATCCCACTCCTTGGTTTATACCCAAAGAACTTAAAATCAGCATACTATAGTGACATGGCCACATCAATGTTTATAGCAGCTGAATTCACAAATAGCTAAACTATGGAACCAACCCAGGTGCCCTTCAATAGAAGAATGGATAAAGAAAATGTGGTAAACATACACTGTGGAATATTACTCAGCTTTAAAGAAGAATGAAATTATGGCATCTGCCAATAAATAAGTTGGAGAATATCATGCTAAGCGAAATAAGCCAATGCCAAAAAACCAAAGGCTGAATATTTCCTCTGATATGTGGATGCTAACTCACAATAAGGGGGGGGCAGTGTAAGGAAAAACAGAGTTATTTTAGATTAGGTACAGAGGAGTGAAGGGAGAGGAGGGGATAGGGAGAAGAGGGATAGTACAATGAAATAGACATTATTACCTTATTACATATATGACTGCATGACTGATGTGATTCTACAATAAGTACAATCAGAAAAATGAGACTTATACCCCATTTATGTATGATATTGCAAAGTGCATAAATGAATTCTACTGCCATGTATAACTAATTAAAACAAATTTAAAAAATTATAAAGTAAAAAAAATTATATTGTATATGTCCAATGTCACTACAACAGTAACAACAGCTAATATTGAGCACTTATTAATGTGCAGAGTAATACATTAAGCACTTTACACACATTCACTCATGTCAATCTCAGAACACTTCTGTAGTGGGTACTACTATTTCCATTTTCAGGAAACTGAGTTTAAAGGGTTAAATGACTTGCCCCAAAGGTCCAAAGATAATGAGGAGCTCACAAAATTCCAATTAGAAATCAGTAATGTCTGATTCCAGAACCCATTTTATTCTTCCCCCTATGAAAATGATTTTCTTTGGAGAAATCACTTCAGTGAATGTGATCAAACCATGCTTTAATTTGTTTGCCTTTTGTGGTGCTAGGGATTGAACTCAGGGTTTTGTGCATGCTAGGCAAGTGCTCTACCACTGAGCTACACCCCCAACCCACATTGTGATTTTGTTTATTTATTGGTTTGTTTTTACAGTACTGAGGATTAAACTCAATGGCACTCTACCACTGGGATGCATCCCTGGCCCTGGCCTTGAAATTGTGATCTTACTACCTCAGCCTTTCAAGACACTGGGATTATTGGCTTGTGCCACTGCACCTAACTCCATTTTATTTTGTAATGTGCTACTCAAGCTAAGGTATGGAGTGGTTGTCATTAATAGAAGTTCATTTAACAAGGGGTTAACATAGCCAACATTCCAGCATCTCATCATCTTTTCAAACTTTCCATGTGTCATGCTTCACTTTAGCAAACAATCTCAACTACCAGCAGCTTTGAAGATCAGTGACTTAACAGTGGGCATCATTCTGGTACTTGTCCCCATTCCAGAAAAACCACATCTGGTGACAGCAGCTGCCTGGCTGTCCCAGGAGTGGTTAAGAAGGGAACAAGGCCTGTTCCACATAGCTGATTAAATGCTATATCACTTTCACCACTGGGTTCTTGGTTTTCATATCTGAATCCACTGGCATCTCCACCTCATCAACAATCCCACTGATGTAGACAGCAAACATTTGCAAAAGGCTTTACGGATTAGACAGTTTTCTCGCCCATTATCTCATCTAATCCACAGGATAACCCTGTCAGGCAGGAAGGACAGGCTTTCTTTTTACCTTATTTTACATTAGATGAAACTGAAGCTCAATGACATTAAGAGACTTGCCCAAGGTTACAAGGTTGGTTCTAATCAAGACTTGAACCAGTGTCCTGATTCCACACCTTCTGCCTGGCCCACATCAGCTCCCTCTTGGTACAAGCAGTTCTATGGCTAATAGCTAATTTTGACTAATTCATCATTGTCCAGTATTTACATAATGCCCTCAAAATCTCTACACACAGAAACATGAAAACCTTCAACTTATAAACAGAAAACCAACATGGTAGCCCAACATTATGTTCATCTCCACAGTCTTTTTGCTATTGTTACCAGTCCTTGATAGAATAAATCACAAGGCCTATGTTCAGCTGGCTTCTCCCCCTTCCCTCCCCTCTGCTTCTCTCACATAATTTCCCCCACTCCAACTCATTCTCATTCTGACTGCTGTTCAAACCCGAATCACCCTACAGGTGCTGATTCCATATAAAGGAAAAAGGTTTATAATGAAATAATAAAGACTCCTAAACCCTTTTAAGGAATCCCACTCCACACTCTAAGACACAATAGCCTGCCTCTTCACAGCTGGGCCTCCCACAGAGCTCAGAATGGCTCTAAACTGAGTGCTCCTGGTATCTTGTCTCTGACTTCCCTTGGAATAAGAACATCAAAGAGCACGGCATGGTGGCGCATACCTGTAATCCCAACTACCCAGGAGGCTGAGGCAGGAGGTTGGAAGTTCAAGGTCAGCCTCAGCAACTTAGCAAGACCCTATCTCAAAAAAATAAATAAATAAAAAAGGTTGGGGATATACTCAGTGGGTTCAACCCCTAGTACTACAGGAAGAGGGTGGAGTGGGGGGGACTAATAACAAAAACAAAAAACACCAAAGAAAAGTGGGTGGAGGTATGGATGGGAATGGTGGTGAGTTAGGCTGTCACCTGGTTGATTGAGAGTTCTACCCGTCAGATAGAAGCTGCCTCCTCATACCTGTACCCAACACAGCCAACTATATGAGAAAACCTCTTGGCATGGAAGCAAAAACACAGAAGGCATGAGGAGTGCTGGGGCTAGCCCCTCTGCCATTGACCATGGGAAGGTCACTGGGTCCTCTCTCCCCTATACTGTCCAGTGGGAACTGACAGGGAATGGGAATGACAGGACTCCAAGTTTCTTTCTAGCCTTAACTTTTTTGGACTTTATAAACATCAGAGAATAAATAGCAAGGCAGTTTGATGATTTTACAATAGTGTTTGGGGAACAGACAAAAGTGATTAAAGGATGATCAAGAAGCCAAGAGGGAGTATGAAGCAGACTAAGGCCCAGGGCTATGCTAGGGAAAGAGGAGAGGAGAGTGAGCTGTACATGACACCCAAAGACCTTCTTCAACCCTCCTATTGCCACTACTAACCAGAACCCCCTCACTACCACACACTATTCCCTACAAACTACCACCACCCTATCCCCAGCACAAGGCTCCCTTCTCAGACCTAATCCTATACCTCCGTCTCCCAGACCACAAGACCATGGCTAAGACATACCTTGGTGTCATTTATTGAGCACCAGGCTTTGTGCTGAGTATCTACTATTTCTTGCTCATTAAATCTTATCAACTGTTCCGTGAGAACGATACTATTATAATGCCCATTTTACGCCAATGATATTGAGATTATAAAATTTAAAGAACTTGCTTGAGGTCACACAGTGAGTAAATGGCAGAGACTAGTGGTTAGTCTTGAGCTTTACCACTGTGCTCTTCCTCCTTCCATGAAAACACTGTGTACACCTTGATTTGGAAAGGGCCCAGGAAAAGACAGGCTGATTCAGGAACCACTTGCTGATAGGGGAACTCAGCCCACAAAAACCTGCTTTCTTCTGAAGTAAGCCAGGTGTTGACTTAAACTCATCACAAGGTCTCTGGCCTACAACTCCTCTCAAGGCTTCCAGTGAGCACTAGAAAAACTCAGATCTGTTAGACTGCCCCTGGGAATGGCACGCCGTTTCCATTGGACAAGCCCTATATTGGCTGATAGCCACCACTGGGGCCAGGCTGGGATAGAAGGAAAACACACTTGGGTCAGGTCAGAGGAAGAGGAGGCCATCCAGCACCCCAGAGCTCCAAAGCAGAAACTCATGAGGACTGTGCAACACCTTGTTTCTCTAGAACACAGCTTCTTAACTCAAGACTATTTCAGGCATGAGTTGTAGTAGGGTAGTAGACACAGGGCATGGGGATGTCTGCCTCCTGGCTCTGCTCTGTACCTGAATCCATTAGCCTTCTTCTGCCTCAGTAAACGCTTGTATAAAAAGTGCAAAACAGCTTACTTGCCTGGCATATGTGAGGCACTGGGTTCAATAAATAAAAAAAGGTCTATCAACAACTTAAAAAAAATACTTAAAAAAAGTGCAAAACAGTGCCCACCTCACCATTACTCCTGGGAAGGTTAAATAAGATTCACATATAAAGCACTTATTAGCATAAAGGCAGGCATGTGGTAATAGTAGATGTGGCTTTACATGCACTGCCCTCTTTAGTCTTCTGGTGATTAAAAAGTAAAGCAGGGGAAGGTTAAATTATCTCCCCAAAGTCACTCACAAGGAGGGCCTGAATCCAGGATGCCAAGACTCAAGCCCCGGCACCACACTATACCTCCTCAGTAAGCCTCACTGTCACTGTTTGCTGTTGTTATCAAGGTCACTGTTACAGTTTCCCTTTCTGGTGGCTATAGAAGAAACCAAAATGAAGGATGGATGATGGCAAGTTCTCTCCAAGATGATTATAGGGCTCAAGTGATTTGAGTTGCAATTTTCTATTTTTGCTCCAAACTAAAAGATGATAAACCAATTACTGTGAGTCAATTTTAGTCCCTTCATCAGTACCACCAAGAAGGGCACGCCTGCCAGGGAAATGCCCCATGTTTAGAATTTGAGCTGAAATCACCACAGGAAACTAGAAGAAAAAGCACTAAAAAAACAAAGGGAAAGAGGTCCCTAATGGCACAGCTGGATGGTGAGCACTCACTTGTAGCAGAAGTCAGCATTGTGCTTGTAGAATCGGCAGAGGTTCCCATCATCAGGGGGTGTGGCACAGAAGAAGATGGATGGTGACAGATTGTATCTGCCAGTCTTGCAGAACTCATCATTTTCTCGGGGAGCACCAGGCTCAATAGTAACACGATCACCTGGAGAGGAAAATATGGTGGCACACTATCACCTGACCCCTCCTTGGCTTCTTGTTTTCCAACCTTTGAAAACAAGAATAGGATAGAGATATGGTGAAGGCATGCCAGCTCCTGGGCTGATGCCAAATGCAAGAATCTAGCCTAAGGAGCCACCCTCCTCCTTGGGGACCCAGGGTACCCTAGACAGGCCAGGCCTGCTAGTTTTTCCAAAAGGAATACAGGATGCAGCAAAGGATCATATTCTGGGAGGAAAGAGCCAGCCCACTTCTCCAAAGACTGGTTTGGCCTGCCTTGTGACAAGCCAACCTGCCTCTCCAGCTCCACAAGCCACTTTCCAGCTTGGGAAACACAGAACCAGTCCTATATCTAAGGCAAACCAGGTCTGGCTTCCCCCTCAAATCCACTGTGAAAGGGGCAGCTAGTGCATGGAGCATGCAGACATTTTTTCTTCACTTGTTTTGAAAACACAGGACAAGACCTCTACAAAGACAAGAATTATAATTATAGCCTGTTTTATGTTCAGTATGGTTGTGTTTAGACAATAATTAGGAGTCAACTGATTCCTGGTTGGCAGAACTGTGAGGGCCAAGGACCTGTAGAGGCCCAGACTGTACAATAGAGGGGAATATATTCAAGGCTGGTGAATAGCTAGTCTGTCATATTTTTATGTCTCATTATCCTGCTTGGAAACCCAGCCCAAGAACTGCTCTCCAATTGCTTTATCCCCCCTATATTTTTATTATGAAAAATTTGAGACATACATCAATGTTCAAAGAATTGTGTAAGTAAATATCCAGATACCTTCTACCTAGGTTCTTCAAGAAGCATTTAGCTATGTTCACTTTGTCCTGTATTTATCTATCCACCCTCCCATTGCATCTACCCATCTCTCCTCCAGCCATCAATCTTCTCTCTGAATAAGCTATCTACTGTCTTTCTGTGTTCCATCTTGCAGGCGGCCAACATAGCACGTGACCAGCGTGACCAGTGTTTGTCTCCCCTTTTGATGGGTGTGGTATTGTCGGTCACCTTGTGATCTGGTTCCCTAGGTAATCATAGACAGTAGCCCTGCTCACCTGGTAGTCAGGTAGCTACGCTCACCTGTTCCTTTGTGATATTACACCTTGCCCTATTTGGAATTGAATGTTCCATGGAAACACCCTTTATGTGTCTCCTTCTCTTATTCTGCCTTTGGGTGTGGCCTTCCTAGATGTCAGTCAACCTGCTGACAGCAGACATCTTGAAGCTACACTCAGCCCCTTGAAACCTGACTCCTTGCCTCATTTAAATGGCTTCTCCTCAATAAAAGGGGTCAGCCCGTGCTCTCTCTCTCTCTTTCTGCAGACCCTTAAGGTCAGAAAAGCCGACACAGCATCCCCAAAGAAAAAGGTACTTCTTTCTCTTGTGTGGTTATTTCACACAGCCCAATTATTTCAGTTTCCCTGGAGTGACCCCTGAGTATTTAAGTCGCCAGGAACACAACACAACATATCCATGGAATAGTGTAGATCCTATTAAACATCTGGTGTTCATTAGTAGCAGTGATGGTAATAATGGTGACAGTAATATATAATAGTAGGACACTTGTTTTTATTGTATTTATCATTATAATTATCTGAACTGGCATTATTGCAGAGGAATTTCAAACTATAAGATAGTTAGATTAGGGGGCTGGGGTTGTGGCTCAGTGGTAGAGCACTTGCCTAGCAATGTGAGGTCCTGGGTTCCATCCTCAGCACCACATTAAAAAATAAATAAATAAATAAAGATATTTTTTAAAAAGATAGTTAGATTATATATGAATTAGAAATATTTCCATGCCTTAGATTTATCAGTTTACATTATGTAAATAAATATTAAGAAATATTCAATGAGTAGTTTTCTTCTCTTAGGATTAGTTGATTAGAACTTGAAATCAAAATTAGCATATGAGCAAGGTGCAGAGGCACATGCCTGCAATCATAGTCTTAGCAACCAGTGAGACACTATCTTATAATAAAAAATAAAAAGCGCTTACAATAATGTACTCAGTGGTATAGCAACCCTGGAGGGAAAAATTAGCTCATGAATCATTTTAAATAAAAGCTTTGTATTCTAAAAAAAAAAAAAGTACTCACAGAAATCCCTTGAGACCATTATAATGCATTCCTCACCTGTACGTCTCTTCCTTCTCCCTCTCTGACTCCCTATACTTTCTCTGCTGCCCAGTGAACTTTCTGCAATTTATACCATTAAGGGTGATGTCTCCAACTTGACATTCAAGGTTTTCCATGATCAGGTATTGTTCAATTTTATTACTGAATAAATTATTACTGTAATAATTTACTACTATAATTATTTTACATTATAATAATACAATTCAGAGTTGTATGGTGTTTTTTAAAGAGGAATTTGATAAAAACTATGCAATTTTATCATCTCCACTAACTCCCCAACCAAAAACAACTGCTCTGAAAAAAGAGACATATAAGCAACCCAGACAGGTTAGTTACTATAGCCTCTGTAATCTCATTGTTCTGTTCCTCTTAACCAAAATAGTATTTTATGACCTCTTCACTGACTCAAATACAAAATCTTCTTTAAATCTAAAGGTGCTGGGCAGCCTGATGGTTCTGAGTACTTGCTCTAGGATCAGAAAGAACAGGGTGAGAATTTCAGCTCTGAGACTAACCAGTGTGTGTCCCTGGGACAAAAATCAAGCTCTAATTTCTTCATCTACTAATAAGCATAATAATGCTTACCTCATAGACTGGTTTCAAGAATGAAATAAATAATTGTCTCTAAATGTTTAACTTGGAGATTAATGAATAGCAAATCAAAAATACTGACCTTCTTATTATTGTTACTATCACATGTCCAGCTCCAAGACCTATCTTCTCCAGGCACCTTCTTCAACCACCTCTGCTTATAGCAATTGCCCTTTGACTTCTAGGGCCAGAGTCTTGTTCTCTACTTGTTGGTACTGGTATAAGTCCTAAGGTCTGGTCTCCCTAACTAGATCTAAGCTCTAGGAATCATATATTTTCTTTTCTTATCTCTCTTAAAGCACCTGGCACAACACTGGACCTGGACTAAACACTTGTTAGAACTTACATTTAGCAGACCCCATTCCATGCTTTAACTTACATTTAGAGACCTGGTCTCATAAGAACCAGTCATCAGAGATTGTTGGAATTTATGGACTTTCAACTTTAGGAAAACCCTGTAACACTATAGTTTTCTCAGCTTCCACTAATGATGAAGGGAGGCCCTGTTCTAAGAATACTAAGTGGGACACATGTATAATTTCTGATCTTGCCAATCCCCCTCCATGTGGCTTAGAGGCTCTTATGACTAACACAAGATGGCACATACTGCTAATCACTGCCTTCCTCCAAGTGATCTGACATCATCTCCAGGACATAATGACTTTGTTAGCAAAGGAAAGTTAAAGCTAACAACTGGGTATGTCAAGACAATTAGGATTTAGTTCACTGGTAAGGGAACAACATAGTCTGCCACAGCTAAAAATTCCTCCCCTCAGGCAGAATGAATTAAGCAAATCTAGGGAAAATATTGGTTATTTCCCAATCCTCCAATAAAAATCACAGATTCCTGGGCCTGGGGTTGTGGCTCAGTGGTAGAGGGTTTGCCTAGCATGTGTGAGGCACTGGGTTCAATTCTTAGCACCACATAAAAATAAATAAATAAAAATAAAGATTCATCCACAACTAAAAGACATATTTTTTTAAAAAAAAAATCAAAGATTCTATCTAAAGCCTTGATTCTCAGCACACGGAGGTAGTTTGTGGCTTTTGTTCCTGGAACATTTTCTCTACCTCTTTATCTGGTTTATTTCTCACTTGGCTTCAGGTATTGGGTAAACTGCATCTTTTCCAAAGGAGCCAGAGATCTAGGTAAGACATGCTGATCACACCCTGCATTCTCTTCCACTGCCCTTAACACTGCCACAAAGGACCTGTTTGTCCAGGTTTGTCTCCTGCTGTGGAAGGTAAGTTCACATGTGTAGAGACCAACACTATCTTGTTCATTGCTGTGCTCAGTGCTTAACAGAGTGCCTGGTCAAGAGGAAGCACACACAAATATTATGTGGAATGAATACATGTATCAGTTAGCTGAAGGATTTTGCTGACCTGGTTTTAGGTGCTTTACCAATGATCCCACTTTTACTACTGTTCCTGAAGCTTCATGCCCCAGCACCATTGGCTTTTTCACAATAAAATCCCCAATTCGACCATGCTGCCAGTAGTGGACATCTGAGCCGCAGATTCCAACAGAATGCATCTTCAACAGCACTTCTGATAAGAGAAAGGAGAAGGAGAAAAAAGTGAGGGAAAAAAACAACCCCAGTATCACTTTGATGAGCCCTAATGATTTCTCTCTGGATAAAAGACAGGCGGGGTCCAGGTACAAAATTTAGACCACAGAGGAAAACAAGAGGAACAGCAATCCTGATTAAGTCTGGCAAGATAGAAGAGTTTCCACAGAACAAGTGAACTGTATGTGATGGGTGATTTTATGTGTCAACTTGGCTAGGGTATGGTGCCCAGTTGTTTGGTTGGTTAAACACCAGTCCAGATGTTGCTGTAAAGGTATTTTTTAGGTATATTTAACATCAGTAAATTTTGAGAAGACCAGATTGTTCCCCACAACGTGGGTGGAGCTCACCCACTCTCAAGAGTAAAGACTGGGCTTTCTTTCTTTTATTTTTAATATATATTTTTTAGTTATAGGTGGACACAATAACTTTATTTTATTTTTATGTGGTGCTGAGAATCGAACCCAGTGACTCACCGCACTAGATGAGCACTCTACCACTGAGCCACAACCCCAGCCCCTGGAGTTTCTTAAAGGAAAAGATTTCTCCTCAAGACTGCAACATAGAAACGTGCCTGAGCTGGGGAGCTTGGGCAACTTAGCAGGACTCTAACTCAAAATTGAAAAGGCTGAGACTGTAGCTCATAGTAGAGCACCTTCCTTACAAATGCAAGGCCTTGAGTTCAGCCCCCAGTACTGCAAAGGAAGAAGGAAGGAGGAAAGAGGAAGGGAGGGGGAAGAAGAGGAGGATAAGGAAGAGGAGATAGGGAGAAGAAGGAAAAGGAGGAGAAAGGGGAAGAGGAAGAAGAAACCTGCCTGAGTTTGTAGTCTGCTGCCCTGCCCTGCCAACTTCAAATTTGTCAGTCCCCACACCCACAATCACATGAGCCAATTCTTTAAAATAAAATTCCCTCTTCTTCTCCCTTTCCCCCCCTCTATATATACACTCATACATATACATACATAACATATCTTATTTGTTCTGTTTGTCTGGAGAACCCCAACAAATAATCACAGTGTAAATAAGATATTATTAGGAGGAAGAAATGTGTCAACTTCTTAAAAGAACAAACTGTTTTTCAGGAGGTAACTGTTTCCAGACAATTACTACTCTATCTGATTCTTATTTATCCAAAAGAATAAGCCTGACAGAATCTCAGCTTGACAATCCATGGTGAGCTACCAGACTGAGTTCCTCATGTTTCTTGTTTTCTAAAAAACCGCAGCTTTACTTAAATCATCCAAAGACTTCAAATGGCATTTCCCTCCAAGGGTTTGAACAAAGTGGGATTTGGTGGTATCGTTGTTGTCAGTTTTCCAAGTTTAAGATAATGATACTACTGAGCCTCTCTGCTTAAATAAGCACTAAAGGATTACAGACTTGGTCTGACTGAGCTGACCGCATTACAAATTTCTCCCCAAGAAAAAGCTCTGCCTTAGAAAGACCGAGACCCTAAAGCTCTGCTATGCTTTCAGACACTTTACACACTGCCCTTGCCACAAACTATGTCAACTTATGGAAGGTAAGGTTCACATGTGTGGAGACCAACACTATCTTGTTGTTGTCAGTTTTCCAAGTTTAATATAATTTTTTTCCCATTCTGGAGATGGGAGAGATTAGAAAACAATCAGCAGGGATCTTCCCTAGGCAACTGGGTGGCATGACCACCCCAGGTAGACGCCACACCAGGAAATGTGTCAGCTCACCCTGAGGTGAGCTGACACATATATTTATATATTTAAAAATATATAAATATAAAATATATATTTTAAATATATATTTAAAATATATATATTAAAAATAAAAGAAAGAAAGCCCAGTCTTTACTCTTGCGAGTGGGTGAGCTTCACCCACATTGTGGGGAACAATCTGGTCTTCTCAAAATTTACTGATGTTAAATATACCTAAAAAATACCTTTACAGCAACATCTGGACTGGTGTTTAACCAACCAAACAACTGGGCACCATACCCTAGCCAAGTTGACAAAAAAAACTATTGGCAAAATCCAGCAGATGTGGCTCAAGAACATTCTTCATCTTTGGTTTTCATGAACAGAGAAAGAAATAGCGGGGTGAATTCTGAGATCAAAGGTAGGGAAGCCAGATGTGGTGGTACACACCTGTAATCCCAGCAACTCAGGAAGTTGAGGCAGAAAGATCACAAATTCGAGGCTAGCCTTAGCAACTTAGAGAGGTCCTAGCAACTTAGCAAAATTCTGTCTCAAAATAAAATATGAAAAAAAGGGCTGAGGATGTGGTCCAGTGGTTAAGTACCCCTGGGTTCCGTCCCAGTACAAAATATAAAATAAATTAAAAAGACTGGGCATGTGGCTCAGTAGTTAAGTGCCTCTTGGTTCAATCCCCAATACTCACCTCCCACCCCCAAAAAATTAGGGAAACATTTGAATTAGGATAACTATCTTAGAGTTTTCTCTTTTGAAGTCATCAATTTGTAGCAAGAGATTAGATCTGACTTGCTAGGGTGCTCACTAAAATATGTTCTTTCCCATTTCCAATTCAAGCATAGCAAGAGACAAGAAAATGAGGAAAGATTCAGAGAGAAGCGATACTGGGATCCTTCTGAATGCAAGATGTATGGCCCTTGTTTGGCCACCTCTGGAACCAACATATCAATACCAACATATCAGGACACAGTGAGGTGCCTCCTTCACTTCTCTGAACATGATATCTTGGTATGACTCTATAAACCCTGAAAATACACCACTTGCTAAACACTGATAGAAAGAACTATTGACTGTATCTTATCACTGAAAGTCAATAAATTCAACCGACCTTTGAGTAGCAAACCTCTAGAGCCACCAGGAAAGCTGCCTTCAATCTGATGTTCACACAGAGGCTGCAGTTCTGGGATGAGGTGTGGCAGGGTGGGGGAGGATATCCCAACTCATCAAGGACAAACAGAAAGGGGGCCTATTTGGCTGGGTATGACCCATCTATAGATACTCTAGCCCACTATTCCCAGCCTTACTTCAGGGTCCTGCAGATTATAAATAAGTAGGATTCTGGAGATGGGAGAGATCAGAAAACAATCAGCAGGGATCTTCCCTAGGCAACTGGGCGGCATGACCACCCCAGGTAGACGCCACACCAGGAAATGTGTCAGCTCACCCTGAGGGCTCACCCACTGAGAGGCCTGCAACGAGTAGAGCAAAGGTGCAGGAGCCCTGCCCCAGTGTGCTCACTTTCAGTACTTGGTTGATTTAGGCAGGGGGCAGGGCTCCTTGCAACCCCTCCCCCAGCCACCTGACAGAAAGGCTTAGAGTGCTCCACTGGCCTTCATGGGAATACTAACTAGCAAGATGCTCTCTTTGCTAATTAAAAGATCAAGTTCCGTAGACTGCTTTTCAATGTTTGGGCTAGGGTTAAGACATGATTTGGCAATACCAATGTGGTAGATAGGGTAATTGGTCATTAAGTTAAAAGAGGAACAATTCTGCCTTGGGTTCATGCACTTTGCATCAAAAACTCCCTGAGACAAGTCAGTAATATGATTCAGTAAATTTTTATTTTCTTTACATATTTATTTACTTTTTGATACTGGGGATGGAATGCAGGGACACTTTACTACCGAGTTACATCCTAGATCTTTTTATTTTTTATTTTGAGACAAGGTCTTGCTAAGTAGCTTCCTAGGATGATGAGGCTGGCCTTGAACTTATGATCCTTCTGCCTCAGCCTCCTATATCGAAGATATTACAGGTGTGTGCCACCATGCCCAGCTAATATAATTTTTTTCTAGTTCTGTTAATGTTTCTTTTATTTAATGTAGCAGTCAAGATAAACCTACCCATCTAGTCATGTTGTAGAAAACAGACTAGGTTCTCAGCCTAACAAATGCATAGTCTTTGGTTTGTTTTTAATGAAGGCAAAAGTAATAAATGGTAGGAAAAAAGTGGGGCAGGGAAATAAGGCACATGTCTCCAACATAAACAATAGGAAAAAAATACCAGTTCAGTTTTGCAAGGACCTACCATTCGGGCCTGGTTCAGGAATGGGATAGTTCTCCTAAAAAAAGAAAAAGAAAAAGTCATTTAGCTTGAATAATAACTTTACCTTATGAACACTTTCCATTATTAAAAAGTTAAAGTGGAGTTTCATTGAGTTTTCACAAAATTAACATAAGCTCAGACCATACTGCTGCTGGGCTGTAGGTGTATACTGAAGGGCTCATCGAATGGCAGGCTAGAAAAACCTACCCAGCTCTTCACCACTTTTCTAACAGAGCAAATGATCCAAACAATGGCATACATCATATGTTCACAATCTTACAGAGAACCACACTGGCTGTCACCAGTGTCATGTCACAGGATGGGATACTGTTCTGATGCTGGGTTCCCTCCCAGGGAAACTGCCAACTGCCCTAAAGCCAAAGGCCCAATTCTGGTAGAGAACTTCAGGCCCAGGAAGAGCTGACTTTAATTTATGACCTCATCCACCCACCCAACTTGCCTAGGACTAAGAAAAAGGTCTGCTAGATGTGCCCTCAGGCATAAAGGAAATCTGGGCTGCTTCTGGGTCTCTGGATCTGCTTTCCATATCAGAATCATCTATCCTGGAAAAACACATTCTTAGATATGTTTGTTTCTGGCAAACTCCTATAAGGAAAGGATGAGAGCATTTCTAGCAGGTGCATGTGAGGACTGTTATCTCAAGACAGGAGAGTGTCTATGCTGCCATCCCTTTCCCTTTATATTAGCACACAGACTGATAGCTGGTAATCTATCTTCCAAACCTCCTGGGTAGAGTTTTAGAGGCCTCTTGGGAACATAGAGGACCTGCATTTTGAATACTCTCACAGGTTCAAAAAGCAATCTGAGGGCTGGGTTTGTGGCTCAAGTGGTGGGGTGCTCGCCTAGCATGTGTGAGGCACTGGGTTCAATCCTCAGCACCACATAAAAATAAAATAAAGATATTGTGTACACCTAAAACTAAAAAAATAAATATTAACAAAAAAGCAATCTGAGCCAGTACAGTGGCACACACCTGTAATCCCAGCAGCTCAGGAGGTTGAGGCAGGAGGATCACAAGTTCAAAACCAACCTCAGCAAGAGTGAGGCACTAAGCAACTCAGTGAATATAAAATATGGCTGGAGATATGGCTTAGTGGCTGAGTGCTACAGAGTTCAAGCCCCAGTACTGGGGCGGGAAGCAATCTGAACAGGAGTGGGATTATATTTATAATCTCAGCTACTCAGGAGGTTGAGGTAGGAGGATTGTCGAATTCATGGCCATCCTAGGCAATTTAGCAAAACCCTGACTCAAAATTTAAAATTTTTTAAAAGGACCGTGGGTGTAGCTCAGTGGTGGAGTACTCCTGGGTTCAATCTCCAGCAGCACCAAAAAACAAACAAACAAAAAAATAATCTGATGTAGAAGAAAGATGGATAAAACAGGTTTTGGTTGTTTTGTTTTTAACCTCAATTTTTAAAAGGGAAGGGAAGGACAAAAGAAAGAAGAATCAGAAAAGAAGGGAAGGAAAGAAGGCAGGCAGTCAAGAAGGAATTCCATCTAAAAATGGCCATTTTAGGATAACTGTCACCAAAACCTTCCCCAATGGAGTCACTGGTCTCATATCTGACTTTTTTCCTTGAAATACAGGGATTGAACCCAGGGACACTCTGCCACTGAGCTATAATCTCCAGCCCTTTTACTTTTTTATTTTGGGACAGGGTCTCACCAAGTTTCTGAGGCTGGCCTTGAATTTATGAACCTATTGCTTCAGCCTCCCAAAAGTTACTGAGATTACAGGCATGTGCCACCACACCCAGTTCACATCTGACATTATATATCAGAAAATATTATGTAAAGTTGTTTCTGTTATATTGGGTGAAATTTTAAACTGCAAGTTAAATTGAAACTAAAGACAAACATGGAACAGTATTCTACCCTTCCACCAATTGTGTTATTAGGCAAACTCCCAGGCACTGAGAGACGATTAGAGCCTAATCTTCATATTCTTGCCTCTAGCTGTTTTAAGTTTGAATACTGCATTTGGGGTGGGGAGTTAGGGAGATTCAAATTCAGAGCAATAGTTGGGTGAACCAAGTAAGCCCTCGGTCACTGAAATGATCTCTAATCTCTGAAAAAGCCCTTTGCTCTTACCTCTCTGAAAAACCTACAGTAACTTCTCCAGGCACTAGATGGTGCTGTGCTAATAACTTGTTTTTTCCTTGGTAGCAGAAACACTTCATGGAGAACTTCAAATACTTTCCCTGTACTGCTGCCCTTTCTTTACCCTTCTCTTTCTTGCTAACTCTAATCACCTTTATAATTCAGGCTTGTTTACTGCCTCTCATCTACAGAAGACATGCTACCTGAGCACAAGCCCATATTAAGATCAGCCCATAAATGTATAAATATTGTCTAAGCACCACTGTGGAGCCCATAGGTTTTACAAAGTTGTCATACAGATTACTAAAAATCCTTGCTTTTTTATTGTGGTTCTTGGCATGATGTTGGTTAAAATCCCATTTACTTAATCTCTTTTTCAGTCTTAGATTTCAGTGGTGATATGCTTTCATTTACCCAATTTCTTATCTCCCAAGGCTTCTTAGGGGTGTGACTCAGGGGTAGAGCGCTTGCCTAGCATGTACATGGCTCTAGATATAAACCCCAGCACTGCAAGAAATTTAAAAAAAAAATGTTTTGAAGTCTTAGACACATTCAAGTTTTCCTAAATAGGATTTCTTACCTTTCTGTGAATGATAGTAATGAGAAGGTAAAAAAGAACTGAGTAACTTCTTTACTGTAGTTATGTTAGTGTTCCAATACTTTTCTTTTTTTTTTTTTGTCTTTTCTTTTTTCTTTTTGTCTTTTCTTTTTGGAGCTGGGGATCAAATCGATGGCTTTGCACAGATGAGGCAAACCCTTTTCCGCTGAGCTACATCCCATTCTGCACTTTTCAATTCAAGTTAGAAATACCTATCTGAAGCCAGACATCATGGGACTTGCCTATAATTGGAGTTACTGGGGAGACCAAGGCAGGAATATTGCAAGTTCGAGACTAGTCCCAGCACCTTAGTGAGGCCCTAAGCAACTTTAAAAAAGAACTAGAGATGTATCGCAGTGGTAAGTGACCCTAGGTTCAACCCCAGGACAAAGAAACAACAACAATAACAAAATCCTGTCTGGATCTCATACATATTCTCCCTTCTATTCTTCTCCTTAAGCTCACTCACCCCCTGGCGCCCTGCCTTACACAGTAACTCATGGAAATACTCAGGGAAAAATTCTCTGGACACATAGGATCATGCCAGGTGCTCCTTTCATCCTAAATGTTATCTCGCCTTCCCTAAATAGATGTTTGCAAATAATCCTAAATGTACCCTTATTGGCCACAGTTTCTCCACTTCTACCAGTACAACTGAATTCATTCCCTCAAAGTCTTGCATGCATTGCAGCCACTGCCTCAATACAAGGAGAAATCGGGGGAACATGCCTTTTCCCTCCTTCAGCCAACCTGAGTGGGACCATGAAAAATCAGACTCTGGAATCACCTGTCCACGTGTATTGCAGGCTCCCTGGCACCTGCATGTACTTCTGGCAGTTATGTAACCTTGTTGTGCCCTCAATTTCCTCTTCTGTATAACAAAGATAACCATAAAAAGGAGAGCCAACTCATAGTACATAAGTTCAGTCTTATTGCAAAAGAAATAACAGGGCTGGGAATGTAGCTCTGTAGCAGAGCACTTGCGTAGCATGCACCAAGCCCTGGATTCAATCCCCAGTGCAGGAAGGAAGGAAGAAAGGAAGAAAAACAAAAGAAATAACAAAGTTCTGTAGAGACCATTATGTTATGCCATATAAGTCAAACTCGAAAAGTTAAGGAAAATAAGTCAAACTCAGAAGGTCAAGGGTTGTATGTTTTCCTTCATATGTGGAAGCTACAGAGGAAAAAGGAAAAGTGATGGGGGGGATTTTATGAAAATCAAGGGAGATCAGTAGAGGAAAGGGACCAGGACGTGGGATGTGGGAGGTGGGAGGAGGGAGGGACTGGGGAGTGATATTGGCCAAAGTATATTGTTATATTGTGTGCATTTACGAATATGTAGCAACAAAGTCCATCATTTTGTACCACTTTAATGCAACAAATAGAATATGTGGAAAGAGGAAAAAAGGAAATAACCAAGTTCTGTTTCCATAATTACCTTACACTATGGTTGAACCAACTGTGGATAACCTTGCCCCTTTGAAAAGTACTTTAAATTGTTTGGGGGGAAAAGTTGTATTCCCATTGTTTTTATGTCAACTTTAGAGAAGTCTGATTGTTCTTTGAAAGGCCCCAGTCTTCAGAAGAAAGTGAAGTTAAGATGCCAGCAGTGTTTTTAGTCTTGCTTCTGACAGTTGTAGAAAAAGGATAAAGCCACCCCCTCCTGCTGTCAGGGCAGAGTGTGAGGAAGTCAGCAGCCTGGCCCCAGGTCCTCAGCAGCATCTCTGACACCTGCTCCCACATGCCAGGCCTCCTGTGAGCCTTGTGGGGCTGTCCTGCATGCTTACAGTAAACAGGAGACCTTGTTTTGCTTCCTTCTCCCTCCATATTCCCTTTCCATTGAGTACTTGAAGGGTGTTTTGAGGGAAATCCAAAGATTTCCCAGTTGACTGTTTTGTCATAAGAGGCTTTGTTCTAGCCGCTGGTCCTGGCACACTCAAAGTAGGGGGTCAAAGTAGGGGGTTGGATACTCTCCAAAGTCCACTGAGCTGGTTCCCTGCCCAGGCTCTCCCAGCTCCATCTAGTCTTTGTTCTGCTGTAACAATCTTTCTAAAATGCAAATATGCTTGCAGTCCCCAGTGGCCCTATACCACTCACATGGCAGCCACTATGTCTCCATCTTACCTCCAATCTTGCCAAACCCTACACTGGGTCACCCTCACAAGGGAGCCTTTTTTCCCTCTCCTTCAAGATCTCACAGGACATAGGAAGTGAACTGAAAGTGAGGCATCCTAATTCCTGTGGGAACTCAGGGAGACTTAGGTTTGGATGTGTTGAAATGAGGGGTCTAGGGACA